TTCAATATTTCCATTGTCACCTTCCGTTTTTATCTGTAGCGAGCGCATTACCTTTCCACTAGCTGTTTCACTTTCCCCCTCACGTGCTGTGATCATTCGCTTCAATACTTATCCCTGACAGACATTAATTGTACTAGAAATAATCTTTCGGACAATTGGCGGTGCCTGTCATGTTCGTCTAGGGTTCGCCTCCTTGTGTCATGTCCTCGCCCACGTCTTCGATTACTTGTTTGCGTGGGACACCTGTCACATCAAAATACGCTACTTCAGTTGGCATAAATCTAAGATCTCCGTATGATATACTGCATGTGGGCGAAGACGCCAGCCTTCGAACGGTTCCTGTAGCACACCCCGTACAACCGCACCCGGCTAATCTAAATGCAATTGGAAAGCGATGATCCGCGCTATCCTATTGGGTTCATCGACAGCTCATGTCATATCAGAGGGTTGGGCCATGATGCCTTGCCTGAGGCACAGAATCAGCCAGGTGTTACCCTGTTCTCAACCTGACAGTGTTTTTAAAATTAACCTGACGATAAATGATTCGATTTGACTGGGAATAAAAGAACTCACTCTTCTCCTTATATTGAATTCTTTTTCCTCATAGTGGATTACGTCCAAGGTCTGTTCTAATCTTGCGGATGCAAAAAAGTGTGGCCATATCTATAATAAGATAGTTTTATAATCGTTATTCTTCTCTGTTCCGTTTCTAGATGACGCATAAGCCGCACGTATATTTTACCAAAAAAGTATATTTCTACATGACGTACATTTAATAAGGCCTATTTTACAGTACCTTCACGATAGTATATACGGACACTGCTTATTCGCCATCTAGGCGAAATAGTAAAACGAACCGCGACCAAAACTTTTTGTTACTGCATTTTGTGAAAGGAAGATTCACGGGTTAGCTAAACTTAATTTTTAAAACGTAAATCGTTCCTTCTTTTTGAACTTGGCCTCAATTGCATCTGAACAATTTCGGACAACATTTTCCTGTTCTGGAAGGGGTGTTTTACACTTTTTATACTTATTTTGTAATTCTTTTATCGAATAATGCATATTGATAAAAAGTTTGGTTCTGTCATACTTAATAGCATAGAAAATTCCTTCGATATGAGACGACTCCCAATTTCGCCAAAATTAATGTTCATTACCCTGAATAAACTTAACTAAACTGATGATTTTCTTAACTAAAAGGTTTTCGCAGTATTATTCAATGAATCAAAATCACATGACCAAATATATGCAAAACTAACAAGTTACTTTTCGTCACGTCATGCAGCACTCGCCATACTGTATATGCATTGCTGCCCCAACTACTACTGCTTCTTTTTACATTCACAGGTGTCACTGAGAGCATCATTGTGGGTAATCCTACTCGGATTGGCACGGGAACCTTCGATCTCCTCGGTCGATGATATCCTTTTCTTACCTATATTTCCGTATTTATCTGTTGTTTGCTATTCCTTCCATCTAAGTTTGTCACCAAGTAACTTTGATTTTATGACTTCTTAGACAGTCTTCATGTTTGTGATCATCTGGATTTGATTCAGTTG